ATCGCATGTCCGATTCACAACGGTGCCATTAATACCTATGTCTCATCAAAGATTTTCTAGCTGTAGAGATGGAAATTCTCATTTAATTTATTGAGATTGTTAGTAAATGCTGTTTTATATTTAAAGATTGTTATTATTTACTCTCCGGGAATCAAAAAGAAAATAAACATTTTCATTTGATCTTGTTTACGCTAAACGTTCAGCTAGTAAAACAAGCATATTCACGTCATCTTTGATCCAAGAAAGGTGCAAAGGGTACGGTTGTAAAATTGACATGCCACTCTAGAACTGGAGGGTTAATTGAAAATAGTTCCACAGTCCGTTTAGAGTAATAAAATTTATGAAATGTTTATGAAGTAAGTGTTTATGTTTTACAAGGATAATAACATTTTTAACGACCCGACTTTGCAAATTCTTTTTTTTCATGGAATTGTTCGAAGCGTCTGAGCTAAAATATTATGACCAAATAAAGTAAAAATCTTATAAGCAACAAAGCTCTACTCTGGAACTAAAAAACTGCAGAACTTTTAAACTGCAGTAAACTCCAGAATAGGAAGACGACTTTTAAACTCAATTTATGACAGTTTCATTTCACTAAATAAAGGATTTCAGAAACTATTAGTAACACTAATAGTTTTGTAGCAACATCAAATACACTTAAGAGTTGCTTTGAAGTCGTCTTCCTAATCCACAGTTTTCTCCCTCAATATAGTAAAGACTTATAGTATCATACATAGTACTTAACTCAAGATTGTTTCAAATAAGTGACTTCACTCCTGTATGCCGATCCAATCAGGGTTTAGTCATGTGTTTGTTGTCTATTCTGAACCAATAAAAATAGTATAGCGGTAACATCTATCTCTTTATCTATCTTATTATCCAATCAGAGTTATGAATCCTTCAATCGACGCTATCAGTAAATGGAAATATTTACTTCTTCTCAGGCTTTTAACTGATAATAGCAATTTCTTGAACTAAAAACTGATTAATATGGAAAGCGTATAAGCTTCTCAATGTATTTTTCTTACAAATATTTAATGTAAATTTAATATTTTAGATAAATAAAACGCAGTTGAAGTTCCAAACTCGAAAAAAATCTGATTTAAGGGATATTTCATCCACATTCTGAACACTGAAAACAAAATGTATATTTATTTAACAGCTGTTTTCTTTTTACTTGTTGGTATTTTCAACAAATGCATTTTGAATTTATGCATTTTTGATTTCAAAAAAAAAAAGTATTGAAAAAATGCACTCAGGTGCATCTGATGAGTTGCAGTTTAAACTGCATCGGGCCTTTAGTCTGCTGCAAGTCTACTGCAGTTTTATGCAATCTCATATATGCACTTATGCAGTCTCATGCACGTCTATTGCAGGTCTCATGCAGTTCTAATGCAGTTGCAATAGAACCCCCTCCCCCACCCACCTATCACCTAAACGGTAAACTTATTGAAACTGAGACGAATTTTCTAATGGAATTGTGTACGCTCCGGAACTTTTCTAATAGATACATAACATGTTTACCTCATGTTATACCATGGCTCTACTTAGTTTAATTACTTCGACCAACTGCAACATTTAACAACTTATTTTAAATCATTTCTCATTCAGAAGATGATAATAACATATGGAGAATTTTGCTTATAAAGAAATTTGCCAGTCCCCATATCCTTCAAAGCTTATGGTGTAAACCCTTTATTATTTCAAACTTATCTTACTGATCTAACAGAAAAAGTTAGAAATACGACAAAGATATAGGTATTAGAAAAATAAGATTTTGTGACAGAGACGCAATTCCTTTTGAGCAATAATGAATCCACATCATTCGTGATTTAGGAATAAAGATATTTCAGTCCAACACCTATAACTATATGTACATATGTTAGCTATAGCAGTCCAAACGGCATGGTTAATTAGATAGGCTAAACAATTGTTTTCAAAATTCAAATATTTTTCTCAAAAATTCAAATTTTTGCTCTTCAAAATTCAAACTTTTTTTAATTTCACAAGCAACGCCGGGTACTTCAACTAGTTGTGGTATATGATGCGTCACCATTTGCCCATTTCCTGCGTCAATATATTATATTGTTGGATTAAAGTGTGGAGGTCAAGGTAAACTAAAGATTAAAGTGTGAGGGTCACGGTAAGCTAAAGATTAAAGTGTGGGAGTCACGGTAAATTAAAGAATAAAATGTGGGGGTCACGGTAAACTAAAGATTAAAGTGTGGGGGTCACGGTAAATTAAAGATTAAAGTGTGGGGGTCATGGTAAATTAAAGATTCTGGTTAATATTCCTGTAAGTTTAAATTTAGAGCCCATTTACACCAATTAAATTTAGATTTTTTTTGCAGTTTTATACTTTTTTGCTGAACTATGATTTTTTAATATTTATATTCATCTTAAAGCTTTTTTTGGATGAATTTTTTGGACGAAATTGTGAATGAGAGATCAAAATATGACTGAAAATATTTCTTATTTAGACAGGATGTACTTCGTTGTTGTTAGTTTTGCGTGGGGTCCTGCAACAATATAATATTATTGGATTAAAGTGCGGGGGTGGGATTTATACAGAAATATACTGACTCCTACTTACAACAATACAATTCAATAGTTCAGAATAAATTGAATAATTTACTGAGAAAATATTTTTGCAAATATTCAAACTAAAATATTGATTACTCATTCATCTCTCGAAGAACTAAGAATGTCCCAATAAAAAATAAAGTTCTCATCTTATTTTAGATATTTAAATTTTTAAAAGCTAATCTAAAAAAAGTTGTAAAAAAATTTGCATGTAAGGATTAAAGTTCTAAAGTTAAAGGGACTGTAAGCGAAATTTCAAGTGACCCTCCACGTAAATATGGCGATTTACAACTGTACCCTTTAAAACGTTGTCTGATCAAGAATAAATTAGGGTTTTCTCTGCAAAAGTGATTTGCACATTTCTTGCTTATTAAAAAGTGGAAAAATTCACAGAAATAAGCAATCAGAAAAACGACGTTATCTTCCACATTTTCATCAGATAAATGGTTCAAGGGTACCGTTGTAGATCGGGTATTGCTATCTTTGCATGGAGGATCACTTAAAATTACGCATACAGTCCCTTTAAGGCTTCTTAGCTAACACATCTAAATCATTTGTTACTGCAGTGGCATATGTATCAAAGAATTCTTTTATTTCTAATCTTTACAAAACTACAGTCTGCACCTACCGTGATTAAATCTTCATTGTTTAAAAAAGGATTAAAGAATGTAGATGTGCATCTCCATTGATAAAGTAGCATCTCAAATTCACAATAGTAAATCAATATTAAATGATTTAACCTAATTTTTCTATCAGAAAATTGTTTTTTTTTCGATTGTTGTTTTTCTTTGAATGACTTAAGGATTTGTACTGTACTACACAGTAGACATGTGTAAATCTCTTTTTAAGAGAAACCACAACTGAAAATAATCAGGTTTTAAAATTATAAATATTAATACATAATTGATCAGGACAAAGCGTTAAAGGATACCCTTGTGAATCGGGCATTGCCATCTTAGAATTGATGGTCACATGAAAGTACGCTTACAGTTCTGTTAAAGGTAGAAAAACGACGATATCTTCATCATTACTCAGATCAAGGTTGTTAATCGGTCAATGGACACGCCACTTTTAAAACTGAAGGGTCACTTGAATTTACGTCCAGAGTCCCTTTAAATATCTTGGTTTTCAGAACTCCCTGTAAATACGGAGACACGCTATAAAATTGGTTAAAAAATGAAGAATACTGATTTGCCTCTGTTTCAAATTTCAACAATATAATTATTTTTTTTCGGAAATCCTGAGATTTGACAGCTTCGGGTGGATTCAAAGAATTGTCCGTCAAAATCCGGACTTTTAATTTGGTCATTCTTTCGAGCCCCCCCCCCCCCCGTCGTATGCTCTAATCTCCATATTCTCTAATCTCAGTATTCTCTAATCTCTGTATTCTATAATCTCAGTATTATCTAATTTCTGTATTCTCTAATCTCTGTATTCTCTAATCTTAGTATTCTCTAATCTCAGTATTCTCTAATCTCCGTATTCTCTGTATTCTCTGATCTCTGTATTTTTTAATTTCAGTATTCTCTAATCTAAGTATTCTCTAATCTCTGTATTCTCTAATCTCTGTATTCTCTAATCTCAGTATTCTCTAATCTCAGTATTCTCTAATCTCAGTATTCTCTAATCTCCGTATTCTCTGATCTCTGTATTTTCTAATCTCAGTATTCTCTAATCTCCGTATTCTCTAATCCTCATATTCTCTAATCTCTGTATTCTCTAATCTCAGTATTCTCTAATCTAAGTATTCTCAAATCTCAGTATTCTCTAATCTCAGTATTCTCTAATCTTAATATTTTCTGATCTCAGTATTCTCTAATCTCAATATTCACTAATTTCCATATTCTCTAATCTTAGTATTCTCTAATCTCAGCATTATCTAATCTCCGAATTCTCTAATCTCCGTATTATCTTCTCTAATCTAGCTTCGTATTCTCAAGATAATATTAATCTCTGCAATTCCATCTTCGTTAATAATTAAGATATCTTTACTGTCCGTTTATATATAGTATACAATACATGTTCGATCATTCATTTCATCCATATTTTCATCTCCTAGATATGAAGAATGTAGTACATCTGATATTTTGTCTGATTTCTCTGATTAAATATTTAACCTGATGTATGCGTAGAGTGCGTGAACGGTGGTTTGCTTGGCATCTCACGGTTAAAACTTGATCTACCGTACTCTAGTTTTCACGGTCACTAAACCCAGTACACAGTGTAGAATAATGGGATTCGAACCTAATCTCAGAACAATGTAAGCTATTTAAAGATAGCATTAGTGCAGTTGATAATCTATATAATCCTCATTACGATACTCTTACATTTTCCGTTGAAGTCTCTTTATCATAAACAGAAACTTTGTTGCCAGGGCGCCGCCAATGAGAACGTTGGCGCCATGGCGCCTAGATTAGGACCCAAGTGTATAAATTTTGGGGGTTCGTTAATTTAGCTCATTCCCAAGCAGTGCCTTCTGCCTGCCGCATTTACACACAGGGACAATATGAAGCTGGTAAGCAAAAATAATCTCAACCAAAAATCATTATTTTATAAGAATTATTAGAGAGGTTTAACACTATTTGTATTCAGGTTCTACTAAGTAGTTTAGTGATCGCGTCTGCTCTGGCAGCTCCTCCGGCCAATAACTTTGGCACCTCCGTCAAGTTTGGCCGACGTGGCCGGCAGGTTGAGAACTTTAACGGACAGGCCGTGAGAAACGGAGCTAAAGTTCGGAAAGTTCTCCGCAAAGGTAGACAGTTCCTACCCGGTCTAGCAGTTCCAGGTCCCGTTCTTCAACCCATTCAACAACAATTCAGGGCTGCTCCTCTTCAGTTTGCTGCTCCTGCTCCTCTTCAGTTTGCTGCTCCTCTTCAGTTTAATGCTCCTGCTCCTGTTCAATTTGCCCCTGCTCCACTTCAATTTGCAGCTCCTGCTCCCCTCCCTCCACCACCTACAACTTTTGTCGTTCGCCAACAAAATATCCCAGCCGCCCCTACTCCTGCATCCCTGCCAGTAATTGCCCCTGAGCGCTCTGTTGCCCCCACCCTTGAATATGGAGCCCCTGCTACAGTTGCTCCTGAGGTCCGCGCCCCTGCTGGTGGTTATGGAGCCCCCGCAGAGGAGATTGTGGAGCTGAAAGATAGCTACCTTCCTTCAGAACCTGAAATTGTTGAAGTAGTTGAGCTGAAAGACAGCTACCTTCCTTCGGAGCCTGAAGCTGCACAGTTTGTTGCTGCTCCGGCTCAACCTGAGGTTATTGCAGTTCGTGACAGCTACTCAGCTGCTTCTAATGATGTTGTTGAGCTCCGTGACAGTTACTCTGCTGCTCAACCAGCTGTTGTTGCAGTGAGAGCTGAGCCCACCTACTCTGTCCCAAGAACCATCGCCAATGTCAAATCTGACATTGCTCTGGCAAAACCCATTGCCATTGTCAGGAGCACATACAATCCTCCCGCAGAAACCTCAGTTTTTGATTATTCTTTCGAATCTGAAAACGGTATCAAACAGGAAGCTACTGGTGTCATGAAAACCGTTGATGATAATGAAGTATCTGTGATGCAAGGCTCTTACTCCTATATCGGAGCTGATGGTCTAGATTATCTAGTTGAATGGTATGCTGATGAGACAGGATTCCACGCCACAGCTCCTCATCTTCCCCAATCTGTTGTGCCCGACCATCCCGAGGTGGCTGCTGCTGTCCGCGCTCAAATTGCCTTTGCCGCTGAGCAGGATGCTGCTGCTGCAGCTTCTGGTCGATCAACGTCCTACGCTGCTCCTGGAGATGATCTTGGCCAGTATAATCCCCGTGATGATCTTGGACAATATGATCCTCTGGCCTCCTACAACTAAACAATGTGAATATTGAAACCATGGCATTATTCTTCTTGTCTTCCTGGATATATAAATCTGGAAAACTGATTTTAAGGATCACTGAGTTAAATTGAGCACTGATTGCATTATTTATTAATTATTTATTACAAATATACATTTAAGCAAACATAAAATTAATCTTTTTATAAATATAGTTTCTTATAGAGCTGGTTTAGAGATAGAAAGAAGATATGAAGAAGATACTTATTTGTAACCAGGGCAGAGGGGGGGGGNGGGGAGTGGTTGGTGAATTAAATAATTAATTTTAACACTTTTGGACCTTCAAATGACAAAATACTATTTGAAAAAATTATCTATTATTTTAATAACGAATTTTGACTTTTCCAGAATTTCCTTGTATTTGTTATGACAATCATGAAAAATTGTAAATTTAATTTTCAGAGGACTATTATTTTAATAACGAATTTTGACTTTTCCAGAATTTCCTTGTATTTGTTATGACAATCATGAAAAATTGTAAATGTAATTTTCAGAGGAAACATCAAAAAAGACATCAAAGAGTTGCTAATCAGTAAACATATCTATATATCATAGAGAAATATACATGACATTGGTCATTTTAATAATTTTGCCTTCAGCGCACTTGCGAACGTTTACTCTATTCGATACTAAAAAAAACCGCCAGAGAGAATATTCCACAAATAGGGTTGGTCACCTAAACTGGGATAGTTTAAATCTTTGTCTTTTGATCTGATTTATTAAAAAATATAGATTCGTAATGATCAAAGTATATTTGATCATCCGTTTTCTTTAAACGTTTTCAGAATTTGTTCTTAAATCATTAATAATGAAAAATTTTATGAGATAACTATTCCGATCTTCAAAAAAAGTATCAAAATTAAAAAGTATATTATTAAATACTTTTTAAAAGATTCAAAATGTATTTAAAACCTGAGATTTTTAGATATTAAACGAAACAAATAGAGAATATTTGAAACAAATAATAAGTCAAATTAGATTGTAAATAGCTGTGTGAATTTGAGGTTTTCATGTAAAAAGCAATCTTGAGCTTTTCACAGAATTCAAAAAAATATGAAAAAGCTGAGATTTTTAGGTTTTCTGACAGACCAAGAAAAAAATTAGAGTGATGAGGTTTTGAGGTTTCCATAAAACATTGGGATTCCATTTATAAAGGCAGTGATTAACCCGCCTCAGGCCAAATTTAGGTTGTATAGTGTGTATACCCACTGTCTTTAGGTGTATATTATTTTGTGTAAACTGACCATAGCTCAGGGGCCGTTATTTTGTCAATTCCTAAAACAAATTTTTTTTTAAATGTTGATATTAAATATTTTAAAATATATCAATGTTTATTTTGTGCGTAAATATTTTCCCCTGTTGGGTGATCCTCGGAGCGATGTAAACATCTTTTATTAGTTTAAAATTTTGTTCCGATTCCATCTTAAATTCAATTTTATTTTCAAATCTAAAATTATAATTCAATCCATACCTGAGACGCACACACAGACTGATTTTCAGTTTATGTAGGTATGTTTGTTGTTAATGTTATAGATCTCGTTTTTTATCTTTAGAATTCATCTTTAATTTGTCAAACAAAGACGTATGTTGATTAATTGACACTNAGTCCATGTTATTTGAGAATTGTAAAAAAACGTTTCTTCTGTTGAGTTCAACAACAGGTGAAATATTACAATCGACTTTCCGCTCTATTTTAAAATTGTACACCTTAAAAATGTCTCATTAGTATTAAAAGAATCCTAAAGTTTGTCTCTACAACATTAATTTCAGCTCAACTACCATGTCTAGCCGGTCTGTCCCTATAAGCATGAATTACATATAATTTTTTTCTCTCATTAAACTATTTCTTTTCATTTGCGGGTTCTCTGCGACAATGACTTGCGTGAGTCAGAAAAACGACGATATCTTCCTCACTTTGATCAGATTACGGTTTCAAGGTACAGTTGTAAATCGGGCATTGACATCTTTGCATGGAGGTTCACTAAAAAAAACGCTTTCAGTCCCTTTAAAGGCAATCAAAAATCACATTGTGTTGGTGTTCTTTCGGTTTTAAAGTGCAAAAAAAAAATTCTGAGGATCATTGAAAATAGAGAATAAGAATAATTCAATTGTTTAGAATCAAATATTGTTGAAGTTAATCTCTGCAGTATTGAAATATATAGATTCATATTAATATAATTCTGATCTTTAATTAAACAAAAACACGATTAAGATACTCTTCTCATTTTAGTGAAATTTCGTCTTATCTTCTATCTTCATCTTATCTTCTCTTTAATTCTACCCCTTTTCTAGACACTGAGATATAGTCCTGTTGTAGTCCTAGTCATATACATTTTTGTAGTCCTAGTCATATACATTTTCGTAGTCGTCGTCATATACATTTTTGTAGTCCTAGTCATATACGTTTTTGTATATCATTTTTGAGTTGCAATGGGCTTGTTTCTGGCTGAAGTTTAAAGGGAGTTATTGCCAAATTACTGCTCGTGATAGCGTTCATATCTCCTATCTGGGGTTATTTCCTTTTAATTAAAACTTCCAAAATTTATAAACCTTTATAATGTAAGTTTTCTTTTTTTAAACTTGGCATTATTTAACTCAAAGAGAAAATTTAAAGGAAAAATTAATAAAATTCATTCGGGTCAAAATTGGCATAATTTGAGAAAAGGAAGTCATTAGAATTTTGAAATTTGAATTTTGAGTGTAAAACTTATCAGATTTTTGTGGAATCTTGTAAAACTCCAAAACATTCAAAGATATTATTTAGGAAGCACGCTGTAGAATAAGCCGAAAACTGTTACCTATAAGTCCACTTTAAAAACAACTCTGTTTAGTTTTCGTTGTTAAATCTCGATGAATGTGTGGAAACCAATTTTGTGTTTGCGCTCAAAGAAAGAACTTAAAGCTGCCATCTTAATTTTATAATGTATTATATGTTTACAGTTTAAGATAAAGTTTTTATACTTTTGTGTTGAAATTTTTAATCCTGAAAGCGCATGATCTCGATATCAAATGCGGCACTTTTAAATTCTAGAATCAAGTTTTCCGTGCAAGGTTTAGATATCACGAGATATCGAAGTTAGATTAAATTAATCCGTAGATTTGCTAAAGATGGAAATCATTGCTTGATCCAAAGGTTGCAAGCTCTCGCGGAAAAATCAATGACAGTTTTTCCAACTAGTTCTTTAAAACTGAAGCTGAGAACAATTGCTTTATAGCTATGATATATTTACAAGTCTACGACTACAAAAAGTACAATTGAGTAAGGTTAAATACAAATCCAAGGCATTGCGACACTTTAAAGATGACCCAGACTTTTCATAGTAGCCGGCATTTACATGCCAGATATTCTCATAACAAGAGTTCTGACTTCTAATAAGATATTCTTCTCATTTCCTGCAGTGAAAATGTTCAAATTATTTTCCGGGTTTGTGTTGTATAACGTGGTAATAATAATTCCGTTATAATTATATATAAATATATTGTTTAAAGGTATTTTTTTCTATATCATGTTATAATTTTGAAACGGCTGGAAGTGCCGGAAATTTGGTTTAGCCGTTTCGTCAAATGTAAAAATTGAAAATATGAGCAAAAATAATATGACATGAATGATTCTGCATAAAGAAACATCTGAATACAATCAAATGTCGTAGACCTTAGATATTTCATACCATAAATTCTGTTAGATCCAAAAATCAAAGTTTGAAAAAAATGGTCACAACATCAGATAAAAGGATAAGAAAACAATTACGTATGTGACCAAATATCAGTTTAACGAATAAAGAGTGGTTTGACAATTATTAAGATTATGATGCAAGCATGCAAGTAACTGTATAAAAAATAAGGATTTTCACATTGAACTTGAAGTTTGGTTGCATATGAACTTGCATTATGCACTTTCCACTAGACGTGCATCGAAAATGCATTAAAGTTCATTTAAATATGGGTTAACTGCAGCCTAGTGCAAGTCTAACTGCAGTCTAGTGCAAGTCTAACTGCAGCCTAGTGCATATATGAGTTTAACTGTAGTTAAGATGCAGTTATTCAATTTCAGGGTAGTTTCAGTCTTGCTGCAGTATCAAAGAATTTTAACTGCAAACTACGACTTCTGTTAAGATGCAGTTTAACTGTGTAGTATTATGTATACATGAGCGTGTGGTATATTGTATTCAAGGTGTATGTGTGGTATATTGTATTTAAGTGTGTATGTGTGGTATATTGTATTCTAGTGTTTTTGTGTGGTATATTTTATTCAAGTGTGTATGTGTGGTATATTGTATTCAAGGTGTATGTGTGGTATATTGTATTCAAGTGTGTATGTGTGGTATATTGTATTGGGGTGTGCGTGGTATATGGTATTCAAGTGTTTGTGTGTAGTATACTATATTCAAGTACTTGTGTTCGGTATATTGTATTCAAGCGTTTGTGTGTGTGGTATATTGTATTGGGCCTCATGTGTGTGTGTGTGGTATATTGTATTCAAAAGTATGTGTGCGGTACCATGAAATATAAATGTATGGGGTTCAGAAGACGAATGTGCGTATCATCTTTAATTTTATCTATTCGACGTATTTGGTCCTAAAATGATAGAGTTTGTCCAAAATGTGAAATATACTTTTTGTAAAAGTAGTGGAGTATGGGGTCAACTTTAACCCTGTAAGGGTCAAACATGGAGGGGGTGGGGGGATAATTTTTCAGTATTTTTAATAAAAATTAATAATAAATAAATTCAGTTTAGTTTTTTTCTTGTTTTCTCATGAAGTTAAATCGTAAGATATCCTTGTTGGGATCATCCTGACTTATCTTAATACAAATCTTACACTTTACCCTGGATCAACTAGTTCATGCACGTTACCCAGCAAATTGTAAAACTGTTTGTCCGTGCAGTTGTGTGTCTGTTAATCGTTAACAGGCATTCATAGCTAACATAATTACTTAATTACATGTTACACCCCCCCCCC